TACTGTTTTCTTATTAGGTCCATGAACATCGTTGAGGAAATGCAGTAACCACCGTTGTCGAAGCAAGAAATCAGAAACACACAAAGCTATACAGATCCGTAGATTGAGACCGATTATGTAGAATATCGATACAGTGGTTCCGCATATGAAGGGGGTTGTCTCTGCAAAAGCCCTGCAATGTCATGGGAAAGAAATCAATTATCGATACTGTAACCATTTTTGTTGTCGCCGTCCAAGAGTATTTCGTCTTGTAAAAGAAAATAGAGATAGAGAGGATTGTTTTCCTGTTACAAGACCAAGACAGCGAGATTCCTTCCATCTCTATCTTTCGCTCCAGGCTGAATACAGGAATTTCCACATACTTTGTCCTGAATAGTCGGTCTCTCTGAAACGCTCCTTCTCGTTATTGGGTCACGGGTATATGGAAGACTTTCAATATTCTTTCGCATGTAGATCATAGATCAATAAAGAGAGCAGATGATTTTAGCGTCATGGAGCAATACCGGACGTGCACAGGCGAAATAACGTGGTTTTCCTACCTTTGAATGTCGATAACTGGCACGCAAGCATGCAGGGGCTACCATGCGAAAGTCAGCACATAAACGCAACGTCTGCTCCACGTAGACTCTGTGTATGTCACCTTAGTCTTCGCCTTTTCTGACAGAAGTAAAGCGTTGCGTTTCTATGACTGAGTGTTCTCGCCTAAATAAAGGGATTTGAAAATACTTTTTCAAAGGAAATCAAAACTAAATATAAGTACCATACCAAGGGTACTGTACGTTTCTTTCATCCTGTACGGCATGTGCGGGCAGATCAGATCCTCATACGCTAGAGCAATTGTGGATGTCGACAATGGCGATTTCGAGCCTGAACGTATGGTAAAGTCTAAGACTAGTTTTTGGCGGCATGGCGGCATCATGCCGCCATGCCGCAACATTATGCTGCCATGCCGCGTCCATGCCGCCACTATTCCGGGAAGACAGTCAACTGCTTGGCTGAAGATATGCCATTCTCAAAAACACTCACATCGGCCTATTGCTGCGCGCGGAGGAGCTGCCCCAGTGTGAGCTCCAGTTCGTCGTGTCCGCAAATTGATATTGAGGGAGCACTTTGTTTCCAAAGTGGGTCGGCGACACGTATTTTTTTTTGTTTTCGTCGCTACGGGCTATGATTTCGACACTGCAGAGACGCCGCTTCGAACTCACGGAAGTGAAAAACTTGTACAGTATGACGTGAGTACCATTACCATGGTGCCGCCTTGAGAACTCATGTTATCGATGTTTATCGATAACATCCAGTACAGTAATCTCTCTTTATAAGAATGAGGACGGGAAAGGACATTATTATTCATGTAAAGAGAATATTCTTATGGCGGCAGTTATGATGCTTGTCCAGCAAGGTTACTGGCCCCTGAACAGAAGGAATCAATTCTCGTCTGCTTCTGCGTTTGCACTTTGGCAGCTGAGAGATCTCTTTTGATGAAGGTAGCGTAGTACCCTTCTACATACTGTACTCCATGGGATAAAGCGACATTCGAAATACTGTACTATATTCTTATGTCATATATGAATAAATGTCATGAAAATAGGGTTGTTTTGGCCATTCCCAGGACGGGAAACAGTGTATGTATTCTACTAAAAAGAATATTCTTTTGCGGGTCATTCTTTCAAAGAGAGACTACTGTAGTGGGTGTGAATTAAAAAACTCATTAGCACTCTGTGCTGCAGAGAGGTCTTAGATGATTTGTCGGCATTCCGGGCTGCTGCATATCATAATGTTTCATATCATGTTTCATATCACAATGTTTCATATCATAATGTTTCATATCATAAAGTTTCATATCATAATGTTTAAAATTTAATACATGTCTTGAAAGAATCATTTAGGTTTACGCTCTCTTAACTTAAATACTGTAGCGATTTTTGGTCATTATGCTCTAGTATTTATCGGACCGTTAGTCCTCATACAGTGCGCGAAATTTGCGTAAATACACCCCACATCATTGCGATAAAAGCACTTTTGACACTGCCTCGAGAAGCCGATAGGGCATCCCCCATGGTACGCGTGTGCGTGAGCGCGAATCTGAAACCCATTTCTATCAAACAAAAAAGCACTCCAAGTTATCCCCCAAAATGTGGGCGAAATTAGAGCACCCCTATCGGTTTGGCAAAATTTGGTGGCTAAATGTGTAAAATTTTGCGTTTGCATATAGCATTTCTGTGCGCAACACTATCGGTTTAGGAGTAAATTTGAAATTGAAGTGCCCTGATAGGGCATACTGTACGAGGGGTGCGGCGTATCGAGTACGAGAGGTACTGCATTGACACTGTTCTATGGTCTTTTGGCCAAGTGGCGCCATGTAATTCGCGTCTCTATATGGTCAAATGAGTAAATTTGTCGCCATCCGGCTTCCAATATAGGGATAGATATAGCCAAAAAGGCCAAATTTTTGGAGATAACCAGTCCGATAGGGATGAAAGAGGCTATATGTATCTCTATATGCCAAATATTTACATATACACAGCACCGATAGGGGTGCTCTAAGCATATGAACACGAAAAACCACAGGCTACAGTAACTTGCAATGTTTATTATGAAGCGCTTATACTTTGTAAGGCCACCGTTCTTCTCTAGTACCTCCACAAGGCGCCGAGGAATAGATTTGTAGAGCTTATTCAGATACTCTTCGGAAATAGAACCCCAACAATCTATGATTCTATCAGCGAGGTCTTCCAGCGTGCTAAACTAACGTCCATGACCGTGAAAAAGGCGGACAAGAGAGCCCCATACATTTTGGATTATGTTAAAGTCTGGTGACTTCGCTGGCCACCCCAATAACTTAACATGTTTCGATGAAAGCCAACTCTTGGTGTAGTGCACTGACACACCTCATCTTTTTCTCGCCACACCTGTCCCCGGCCAGCGCGACTCCTTCTTCGAGGCCCACGTGTACCGGTCGCCACATGTAACCCGGCATCAAGGCCCCCGTATGCAAGTGACAATCCGCACGTCTAATGGGTGTCATACCTCGTAACCAGGAGGGGTTTTCCGGTCACCACCGCCGTTTAATTTAGTAATTTTAGGTTAATTAACAATAGCTCCGACGTCGGCCAGTATACAGCCGACGTGCAACCGTAAGTAAATACTCACGAAGTCTTCGGACTACAATCATAGCTTTTGGGACGAGAGGTGTAGCCCCGCGCGCATTGTATTAGCTTACCGCTATACTACGCAAGCTATCTACCTCTCCCGGTTCGCACCTACCTCTACACCGCGCGCCCCTGCTCGCGTACTGTAGTGTGCACGCCAGCCTGTCCCTACCGCTCCGCCCTCCTGGGCGTGTGATCCATTCCTTTTACCCATCTAATTCCCTACTGAGCCTCGCGCCCGGCCGCGTACCGCCACCTTACGGTTGGTCCCCCGACGACACCCCCAAAGCGTCCCCGAACGCGCGCGTTCTGCCGAGGGGGATCCCACCGTTTCCCCTCAGTGCACGACACTTGGTGTAGTTTGATCGATGACAGGATGCCCCGTCTTGCTGAAATGTCCATTCTTCACCGAGCGGTTCAGCAAAAAAATAGTATCAGGTCTTTCTCCTTCTCTAGTATCTCAAAGTAAGCGTAGAGTCCATGCTACTTTCAACACGGACCAGATGAGACGTACCGTAGCAAAAGATCGCACCCCAAAGCATCCAATATGATCCTGCCTGGTGCCTTGTCGAAAAGGCTTGTTTTTCTCGCCTCAAGTCGTGTCAATAGCGTGCCAACCCATCTGGCCATCCAGGTTAAAACTTTCTCTCGTCCGAAAAGATTACCTGAGGCGAAAAGGCGCTTATCTTCTCCGGAATCTTCTTTTTCCATTTTAGTCTTGCCATCCTGTGCCTCTGGAGCATCTACGGACGCGTCAACATTTGCTTGTACTTCAAATGCGGTGCGTCACGAAGTATGTTCTGAACGCGACCGACGCCCACACCAATGTTGAGGTTTAGCTTTAGCTCCCGGCATTATTTTTCTCTTTTACTAGCCTCTTGCAGCAAAAGCCGCGTTTGCTTGTTAGAATTCTTTTGTTCCGTTGCGAGTGCTTTTGCGTCCTTCAACCCGCTTTGGGCGCTTCAAAAAGTTTTGTAGGGTACCTGGGGAGGGCACCTGGGGACCTGGTAGGCGTGCGAGCGATCTGGCAAACGCTCAAACACTCCTGTTTCATGGCCACAATCTGCCTCTTCTCGCGGTCTGACAGTAGCTTTCCGCGAGGCATTTTTCCTTGCGATGCCAAGTTTTTTTATGGACACACAATGTGCATTGCTTATGTATCCAACTATCCCAGGCGCCGACGTCACTATTTCGGTTTACTGCCAACTTTACATGGTAGTAAATGCTGTATAATATGGGTTTTCGTGCTCATTTCGCCCACATTTTGGGGGATAACTTGGAGTGCTTTTTTGTTTGATAGAAATGGGGCTTCAGAGACGCGCTCACGCACGCGCGTACCATGGGTGTTGCCCTATCGGCTTCTCGAGGCAGTGTCAAAAGTGCTTTTATCGCATTGGGGTGGGGTGTATTTATGCAAATTTCGTAATTATGAGGACAAAAGTGGTTTTATTTTTTCTAGACAACGCAACACGCGATTTCACTTCTGTGTTTTGTAACCAGAAGGCTATCACTACAGGTAAAGCACGCGGTAGTCGATTCTAGCGAAAACCAACTCATTGGCACACATAGAGGCGTGCAAAAGAAAAAGTCGGTTTACAGTAAGCATTTTTCTTGAAGCTAATTTTATACCAGTAGCATTGAAACATGGCCTCTTAAGTGCTTTATATTCGGTTCCAGCCTTAGAAAAAATTTATAAAGAGTCTAGCTACCAAAGAAATAGACGTTTACCCACGGTTTCAACGTAAGGTTTCTACGTTGAAAGGGGAGTACAGTAGCCCAAGTTCCACAGCGATTTGAGATTTCGCTTTCTCCATGTTGGCTCAGGCATGACGTTGAGGGAATCGCTAGTTCTCAGTGGCATTTCCTAAAAAAGGAGTGGAGCTGCACAAGGACCATGTTTACAGCGGTATAACAACGTTCCTGTGGTAGAAACAAGGAAGCGACGTCTATCTAATCCTTGCCTTCGTAGACGACTTTCTTCTTCTTCACTTCGTCCCAATTGGTTGAAAGGACCTGACCGTCGCTCTCCTGGTAGCTCTTCATCATGGCACGACGCACATCCTCATCAGCGTCCTTGTACAAAGTTCTGAAGAGGGACATGGCACTATCATCTTCCTTGTAGTTTTCCAACTCTTTCTCAGTGAGAGATGCCCATTGCTTCTGCCGTTCTTCTTGCGCTTTGCTTCGTTGTCTCGACTCCGCACCAGCTTGTGCAACAGCAGAGAGAACTTGTGCCTCTTTGTCCAAGGCCTTCCACGTCGAACCTGCGTTGGCCTTCGCTAGTCTAATTTCTACTTTGAATCGACTAAATGTCCACGTGCTCTGGTCTACGACAATGTCTTCATGTAGATCTTTATCCAAGATATAGTCGGGTGCGTTCGGACGTTTCAGACACACTGATAGATGGGAAGGCTTGAATGATACGGCGCTTTGTTCTCCATCAACATCTTTCGCATAAATGTCAACAGTGACATGCGACGAGGATTGGTACCACTGCATTCGCGTGTGATCTACCTTGGGCTTGGGTAATGGCACCGAACCACTGTTGTTTTCCTTTTCTGGGGATGGAGTTGTAGCTGAGTTCGATGTCGCTTTGCGAGGCACGGTCTGGGCAGAGCCTCCTGTGACATCAACGGTTTCCATTACTTCGTCGCTGTCTGTTTTCGCTTCATTATTGCAGCGGCTTGCCCAGTCCAAGTAGGACATTTTCATAGTGGCCACACCCTCAAGCACCGCAGCCTTTTCGAAAGACTTCTTCGCCTCCGCAAGTTGCTTCTTGTTAAAGAGAGCTTGTCCCGTCCAATACCACAATGATGCATCTTCTGGAAACCGTCGAGTTGCTTCTTTTGCGCTCTTGAGACATTCATCAAACTGTTCGGCTGCAGAAAGCGCACTGGCACGCGCGGCATACAACGTTCGCAGCCCATCTTCGCAAATTGTGATGGCTTTAGCAAACTCGTCTGCGGCTTTGACGTAATCTGCGTCTTCCACGGAGTCTTTTGCAATCAAGATGTGTGAATCTGCTGCGGCAAGTGAAACATTCTTCATTTCGCTGGAGGTCAGAAGCTGTCTCAGCTTTTTTCAGGTGCCACGCAGATCTGGAACTGATGCAAAGACGTGACTATTTTGAAAAGAAGTTAGGTGTGTCCTCCAAGATGCTCTGTGTTGAATGTTGAGCGCAGTCAATAATTTGTCGCAAGCAATCGTAAGATGCCCTCGCACGGTCGGTGTGTCGGGGAGGTGGTGGCCTGGCCTGTCCGCACGCCGAAACTGTAGTTCAGAAGTGCCTATTTGTATTGATCCGAAAGTCAGCTCAGCGCTTTCTAGAATAATCAGTTATTTTTATTCCCCAAATGAATGGCACACAGACAGAAAATTTCAGCTGGTGCTGGCCAAATGCGGCACCATCGTTTATACGCCATCGGTACAGTAGTGCGTAGTCAGAAACTGCAGACCACAGCGCTTGGCGAATGTCACCGCTGTCCTGTAGCTTTAGCCTTGCCTCTTGTGATGACATTGCATGCAAGAACCTGGCTAGCGTGAATACCCAGCAGTGAGCTTGGGCTCACTGGATAGTGTCATATGGGAGATTCTGCACAGTCGGCGCAGTCCGTCTCGGCGCAGGCAGCTGCGCGATGGAGACTGTTTGGCCATTCGCGGAGTGTACCTAAAGAAGTGGACAAGTCACAAGGCTCCGACACGCAAGATAGCATTGGGTCACAAACGACCGAGACCTGCACGGACGCTTCGCAGCCGCAAAAAGCTGCTTTCGTTGCGATCCCTGATGAAGCAACATGTAGATCAGCATGGGAAGGCAGATGGGACCGATCGCCGGAAGCTTGGCGAAATTTTGTCTCCATGAATCCTAAAGTGTTCGGAATCACAGAAACAGAAGACCAGAAAATAAGGCAGAAAAACAATACCTATGTCCCCACTCCCCCGCTTTCTGGGAATGGGGGCCTTGGCACGTCAATGATTAGTGGGATTGTTGGCTCGTTCAGCAAAGTATTGATGACTATGCTTAATGACCTACATCTCTATCGAATGGACTTTCTGTATGATGCCATCGAGCACAGATCAGATACACATGGATTGCTCACGTTCAGCAACCATCAATCAGTCATGGACGATCCATTTTTGTTGGCAGCCGCCCTCCCCAGCCGAATCCTTCTCAATCCTAAACTGCTGAGGTGGGGTCTCTGCTCTCTAGATGTTTGCTTTCAAAACGCTTTAGTCGGTCGTACTCTGCGGCTTGGGAAGGCGATGCCGATACAACGCCGCGGCGGCATTCACCAGTCGTTTCTTCGATCTGCGGCGGAAAAGCTTATAAATGGCGACTGGGTGCATATTTATCCAGAGGGGCGGATTCGCCAGGTTGGTATGGGCTACGCAAAGAGGGGTGTTGGTAAGCTTCTGGCAATGGCTTTTGAGGCGCGACAAGGGCTACCTCTCATTGTACCATTGTATCACGAAGGAATTGAAAAAGTCATGCCCCAATCACCTGGTACCAACACCCTTGAAAAGCCCGTGCCCCGCGTTGGCAAAAGACTGTTTGTTTTGGCTGGCGAGCCAATTGATTTGTCACATATATTCCACCGACTTATGCCAGACTGTCAAGCAGCAGGAGGAACAAAGACAGACGCTTCCCCATGCCTCCGTCTGTATGAGGAGATCGCGGACTCCATGGCAATTACAATGCGCCTATTACGGGCTGAGTTACGTCGAAAGGTGCGGTTGGAAGAAGACATAGATCTCGGAGAACCATACGAGTTTTCATGACCGCTTGTACTCAGGATTGGGCACCGGTTTTCTCGTCATCTCTCGCCACGTTTGGATGCGTAAAGACTGGAATATTATAGTGTAGAACTGCGTCATTAGTTCGTGAATCATATGACCATGTTTTGTGTCATCCCAATCGTCGATACGTATTACTCCCAATCATCCTCTCCCCAGTCGTCGTCCGGTGTAGAGATAACTTCCAGAGTTGTTGTTGGCTTGGAGGCTGCAGCCTTATATTCATCCGCTTTTTCAGTCGACGGTTTCTTTTCCTGAGGGCCAGTTTTTGGCCCAGCTTCCTCAGCTCCCCCCTTTTGTAGATTCTCCTGAGAAACCGAAGGAACAGAGGATTCACCGACCCCACCTGCTCCTTTTTCATCGGACACATTCTGCTCTGTTTGGACCTGGGTGTCATCATCCCAATCATCATCTCCCCAGCCATCTTCATCATCTCCCTCTGCGACCGTGTTTTCCGCCCTTTCTAGAAGCTTTTTCCTGCGCTCTTCCTCATTCTCCAGAACATTTTTGGCAAAGAATAAGCGCATCCAAAATGTGTCTTCCTCCACAATTTTCGGCACAACCCTTTCATACAATTCCGCAATTGACGCGTGGCGGTCAAGAATGGCAATGCACCTGTCGGCAAAGTCATCGAGAACGAAAGACTTGCTCCATTGTTCGAATGCATCAAGGTCTTTTGCGGGTTCGCAGTACGTGTCCGGATCTGCCTCCAACGTAAAAATGCGCTTCTCGAAACGAGTTTTCGGCACACCCTCTCTAGCATCGACATGATCCCCTTCCTCTTGACCTGGCGCCTGCCCCCACAAGCCTGTCCATAAATCCCCCACCGTCTGTCCAACAATTGAGTTAGTGATTGTTTCTCCCACCTTTGCAATTTCTTCATTGACATCCATAGCATCCTCCGGATCCACTTGTCCCCTATCAGCAGTGAGAGGTAGCAGCCCAGTTGCAGGATCACTCATCGCAACAATTGCTGCTCCGTCGGTCTGCAAAGCAGCCCTCTCAACTTCCCCGACATCACCTTCATCAGACTCTACCATGTTTGCTTTCGCCAATATCGCAGCCTCCATCGCTTGTGCATTCCTCTGCACTGTGGCGGCAACAGATTTGACAGAGCCCGTAAAGTTGGCTAGCGCCTCTTCGTTCGGGGCAAACGCGCTCATGTGTGTACTCAGGTCTCTGCCGATGTCGTCGAGGGGACGCAAGTGGCTCGAAACATTCTTTCGCAGGTTTTCGAAATCGCCTTCTTTCACTACTCGGGTCACCTTACCCGTCATAGATGTTGCGAAGCTCCATATTGAGTCAGCCGCGTTGCCTAGGGCGTCATCAATATTATCATCTATTTCTTCGACTGCAGCTCCTAATCGACTGAGAGAAAGCGCGTTGCTTCCATTTTCTTCTTGCGGATCACTATCGGCATCGGCATCTCGCTCTTCTATGCCAGCAACTTGAGACTTTGCCGCATTCGACACTCCCCCGGCTTCTTTGCCCGCCTTCGCAATTTTCGCGACCTCGTTCCGCTTCAAGGAAACTCCCTGGGAATCAGTGTTGTCGTCGGATAAGGGGACTGTGTGGGCAGGCTCTTTCAGACCATCCATTATTCCCTAGCCCTCGTGCTTGAACTGTTCGCAGTCGGTAAGTACAATTGAGCTACTTGCAACGCCGGGAGCGAGGAGCAAAAGGTGTCTAATTTTTCCGTGTCGCCACCACAACGAATAGCACTTAAGAAAGACGCGGTCAATTTCAGTCTCGAGAATGCCGGGCAACCTGGAACTGTCACCGGTGCATCGAATGTCACGGAGAAGAATGTGCCTTTTGGTTGCAGCGGAAATTAGACCCACCCCGTAACTCTCAGAATAAACACCTTTCAAAAATTTAATCAATTTTCCCACGTGCCACGGATCACTTCACACGTGTCATGGATTTTCTTTAATTATTTGAAGCCCAATCTGAATTGTCTCTCACAGCGGACAGCGACGAGGATCCACAATCGAGACATGTACAAACTGCCTCAGATAAAAGCATGGCATTACAGTACTCTGTTTGGAATTGATCAGAGTCTGGCTTTACATGTTTACGCCACCTTAACACGAAAACTTAGGACATGATGCTCACCATATCCCGAATAGGCTTCTTCCAAATTGGTTTAAACAGCATGTCCGACAACTAGACGAAAGTAGAGCTTTGCTGAATGGGGGTTGCCAACTTCGGTCCGAGCACAGCCGTATCACGCATAAACACAAAAACGAGAGTCCCACAACGGAGCTAACCACCAATATACAAAAACATGCTCCACAAGGCCATACGTTGGCCACCAATGGGACAAACCCCCCGAACATCATCCACAAATGCTGTTACTTGCGCAATACCTCTGTACACTCTCCAAACCTTTCCCTACGACTGCAAGAAGCAATAAACTGTCTCGGATGGACGGACCCCAAAACTCTGTTGTCGAAGATAGCCGTTGCCGCACCCAACCAGTTGCAATCTGCTCGCTATCTCCTTTCTACCCAAAGCATTTTCTGAACAACGAGCCTGTTCAACGAAAATACCCAATTCGAAGCGCCAAACGCGACAAGCACAGAAGAGGCGCACATTCACATGTTAGAATCTGTTCGTCAGCTTGGAGCCTTCCAGCTAAAGCGCAGTAGCTTGGTTCGCGAAAGACTTAAAGAGAAAAATTGTGTTGCTCCTGGAACAACAACCAAAAACGTAAAAAGAACTTACCCCTTTTCCTACTTGACGTAGGGCGATCCCTCTTACCGCCCTTCTCCTTCCGCCCTTTTTCTCCTCGGGGTTTTTCGCTCCCCTTTGCGCCTAACCGTTCGTTATCTTCACGTCCCCCTACCGGAGGCACAGCCCCCACAGCCAGGTGATTTGCCGATGGAATGGATTCATTCGGAGCCACACCAGCAGCACCCAAAACGCTGTGAGTGACCACTGTCTGTTTCGCTCCAGACGCACCATCGGGACTGTTCGTGAAAGACGCATTCCGACGCATAGGTCCCTTAAATTCAGGGTTCTTGTTCTGATCCCCATCTGAATTTCCATCTTTCGCCGCACTGTTGGTTTTCTTCTTTTGTCGTTGTATGAAAAACTTGCGTTCTGCTGCCTCCTTCTTTTCATTTTCTGTTTGCGCCTCGGCCGTCGGAGACGGCATCTTTGCAATCTTATCGCGAGCCATCTCGGCTTCGTGCTTAATCTCCTCGTCTGCGTCAGCCAACAAAGAGTCCATAGCTGTCTTGAAAGCAGATTTTGACCCACAAGCAACTGCAATTTCGGGCATGAGACGTGCCAAACGAAGCCTGACGTTTGGTACTCTATCCCGGGAGAGTGACAAGAGCTCCGATGCAAACAGGTGAGTGAAGAGCCTATGGCTCATAATCTTCAGCGCGACTGTGCTGCCATCAATATAAGCCAGCCGCGTCCAATATACCTTGCCTCGAGCCCATTCCGACCGGAAGTGTTTTAAAATGTGGTCTCTTCTCCTTACATCAGGGATGTACCGGACCACGGAAACTAGCGCCGATATGGATGCTCTCCTCACCAAGTAAGTTGATTCTCGAGCCATTTGGAAAAGAAGAGGCGCGACATGCTCACACAGCATATCCTGTGGAATTTTGTTGGCGCACTCATCAATTTGCTTGGCGAGCAGCTCCTGCGTTCTCCACGAGTCATGTGACATCGTCTCAAGCGATTCGAAAACCGGGGAAAGTTCTCGCGCTGGGGAATCCTTCGAGTTGGGGTTACTTCGTCCAGTTTCCTTGGAACCCGAGGCAAGCATCGTGAGCACGCGCGCAAAGTACGCCAGTGAATTCATTCGCACCTGCGGGTTTTGATCGGTCATCAAGTTGGCAATCGCAGTCAAGGTTTCCTCCCTCAGCTCGCCATTGCCGAGCAGACGCGCAGTTTCGTGAATTCCAGCTGCCAACGTCGCTCTGGTTTCTACGTCAGTGTCTGCAGATAACGCATGAACAACGCCTCGAATCTTCTCAAACCGCTTTTCGCCGCACACAAAAGCGACGGCGGGCACATTAAAAGCACACCAGTGGCGCACAGTAGGTCCATTACAAGTGACCATGCGGCGCAAAGCGTTAAGCGCGATGTTCCAAGTTTCCTCGTTCGTGAAGAGAGGATGAACAGCAACCAAAAAATAGCCATACACCTCCGAAAAAATCTCCAGCATCAAGTATGTATCATCGTCAACCGTGCGGAGATCTGACGAAGCAACGCTGCTAGCATTAGCACACTCATGTAAAAACGTCGGAAGTAACATGGTTGAAAAACTGGGTGACACCTTCGACTCGACTTTGTGGGCCTCAGCAGATTTAGCAACGGCACGCATGGCGGCTGCGCGGACGCGAGCGTTTTCATCGCGCATAAGCGCGTCAAGCTTTGGCCAGAGCTGCTTCTCCGATATGCGCAGCGGAAGCTTAGAACCGACGGTAGCCAGAGACTGGGCGATCATAGCGCGTACGGAGGGGTCCTGGTCATCACATAGACGCAGGGCTTGACCGAGGAACTGATCCTCGAGCTCTTTGGCGGTCAGAGCGTCATTTAGAGAACCAATGATCCTTGCGGCAAGACGACGGGACTCGACCGTGGGACTCGAAGCGCGATCGACAGTGGCCGGGACGACAAGTTGCAAAACGTCCTCTCGCTTAACTTGCGGAAGCATCATGGAAAGAATCTCTCCCCAGGCGTCAAAGACATCACCGCTCTCGCTCATTTGAATGATTCGCAAGGCGGCGATGACGATTCTCTTTGCGACAGACTCTGGAACGCGCATGCCAACAACAAAGTATAAAGCCTCTGCTGCAGCCATCTGGACCTCTTCCTTCCAACGCACTGCGTCGCGACAGATCTCCGGGACCATGAGCGACAAGGTATCGTCTGGGCAATGCTCTAGAAACTGCGGGAACTGGAAGAGGACGGCGAGCCTCTCCAAATCAGAACCGTCCAGCAAGACAAGTGTGGCGTTTGACACGCTAGTAAGAACATCGTCGTTGAGAACAACAAACTCGACGCCGGCGGTGTCCGCATCGTACTGGGCGTTCACCTTCTTGGCTTCGTCCTCGTCTGGGTTGAAGGGGAGGTGATCGTCGGAAGAGGTGGCGAGCGGAGGCTCAGCATCCGGATCGGGGGTGCCAATCGTGGCGGGGGTGACCGGGGAGTACGGGGGATTTCCTGCAGAGATGGTAGCGGCACTGGGGGGGGAAACATTCGGCGAGGCGGTTTCGGGAGAGACCTGGCCGTTGGTCTCTGAGGATTGGCGCGGGATAGAGGGAGGGGCTGAGGTCGACGCAAAAGTGTCGACAGCCATGAATAGCAGGCGATATATGACAGGGAACGGGGCTTACTAAGCGCAACGGCAAGAGTGCTATTAAGCGGAGCGAGGGAGGGCGGGGGTGCAACGACTAGGGGTGAAGGAAAAACGCGGGAGGGTTCATGAAGGGCGGAAGTGGGGAAAGAGTAGTGGGGAAGCGGACGGGGAAGACGTGCGGAAGCGATGGGGGGATTGGGAAAACACAAGGGGGGGAGCAAGGGGGGCCGGTAAGAGTGGTGCGGGGTGAACCGGGGGAAATTGTGG